GGGAGTCGCCCACAGCGTAGGCTGCAACAGGGCTGCCATAAGCTACCGTGAGTGGCTGGCGGCCAACATGAGCAGCAGACAGCCAGCATGAGCTGCCAAGAGCCGTCGTGAGTGGCCGTCCAGTGGTTGGCGACCGATCTGCCTCACCCGGGAAGAGCGCAATGATAATACCAACAAGGGCCAGTGAAACAACATCCTCCACAACTAGACTGAAGAACAAAAGAAATGCAACTTGTCTGTTCCCCTCCCCAATCCCCCAATAAAAATAAAAATAAAAAACCAAAACATTACGGTGTGTCCTCATCCACCTTGTTCACCGGATCTGACACTGTGTGACTTCTGGTTCTTCCCCAAAGTCTAAATGATTCAGAACATTGAGGCAGCCACAACAGTGCACTAAAGACACTCACAAAAGAGGACTTCCAGAACTGCTACAGAAAGTGGCAACAATGATGGGATAAGTGTGTTCAAAGTGAGCAAGAGTATTCTGAGGGGGATTAATGGCAATGTGCCTTTTACTGTAACAATTTTTTTTATTTAAACATTCACTGTATTGTTTGATCACACCTTATACTTTAAACAGTATTCAATGTCTATCCTTAACACGTTTAACACTATTAGAAATCAAAATACATTTCATTAATAGATGTGTGAAATTGTGAAAGTCAGGACCCATACTGAACAGTACTGCTGCCATTATCTTCTCACTATCCCCTACCTCTATACCCATGGGCATCAATAATGGACTTGGAACTCTCCCCATTCTGCTGAGGTAGAAGCAAGCTTCACACCAAAACTCCTCATGACAGGGACTACCAGACACCACCAACCAGCTGGAATTGGGCACAAGAGTTAAAACCCACCCACCATTCCAGAAACGAAAAATGGATGCTGAAAAGGGAAAAAAGAAGATGAAAGAAGGCTGAAGACCAATTCAGTTCACTGCTAAAAGACACTTTTCAGGGATTTTCTTAAAAGATCGGGAAACCCAAAGAAAAGTTTTATAAAAAGTTCTTACCTTTGCTGTACCAGTCTGGGAGCCATAGAAAATCTTCACTCCAGACACAAAGACTTCCTTCTTTTGAAAAGAGGTGGAACCATTTGTCATCAAATCCCGAGTTGCTTTTGGAACAGATTTATCCTGTGAGTTCTGGTCCTTGAAGATAAACGACTGCACAAATCCATCAAGTTTGAATCTTGCCCCAACTTCAGTATGAATGAAAATTAGCACTGACACTGACCATTTTATTATTCTCTTAATCTTCCTGGTTGTACTCTTCAAATACAAACCCCTTGGTATAATTAGGTTCTTTAAAGGCAGAACGATATTTCTTAAGGCCATAATGACTCCCATTAAATACACAGATCAAAGTGCGTACTCAAAGATAAAACTATACATACTTTCATCCATAATGTGTTTGAATGGGATAAGAGCAGAAACTTATTTTCTGATCCTTAATTAGTGGAAAGAAAAGAGAAAGCTATTACCCTTTAAAGGTGCAAAACAGATTTGTTTTTTAACAGAAGTTTAATTTTTCATTACAACATCTTTCTGTATCTTCAGAATGAGACATCCACTACCCATCAATGAAAAGGTAAATAATTTAGTCCATAATAATTTAGCCTATAAAAACTGAGAATAAAATTTTTAGGCATTAAAAAAACAAATGTATAGAGACCAAACATAAATGCGATTTAAAGTTCCTTTTAGCTTTTCTGCATTTTTCTGAAAGCCTTAGAAAATCCGCACTCTAAGTTCACTATTAAATTGATGCCTTAACACTCTCCTATAAACAATAACTCCACTTACCTGGTTCCTGATGACAATCTGGAAACAAATCCAAAGGGTAATGCCAAAGGCAAAGCCCAAATATATGTAAAACCTGTTTATCCATAATGCTATTAAAGGTGAGAAGTCCCACGTATCCAAAGAAGGATCTAAATGTAAATAATACAGGTATGGAATTTTATTTAAAGACATATACAAAGATGACCATTCTAATTTTTTAAATAAAAAAATAAAACCAACCTTTATACTCACTTAGGCTAAGAAAGCTATAGAAAATCAACTCTAATAAAAATAATACATTATGTAGTAATGTGATATATACAACTATATATACATATATTTGTCATTTATTTGGATATAGCATATTGGAAGCAAAAGAAGAGAACAGAGAGTCAAAATACTTCATGTGTAATTACGAGTTAATTTTGCTTTGTTATGTATGTTCGCTCCATAAGAAAGCTTAAAATAGTGCTTAAAGTATTCCCTTTTTCCTAATTTTATTTTTAAAGACCAAAGGCTACTTGTAAAGGGTCCTTAAATTGGCCTCACGCCCCAATTTCAAAAGACAAAGCCTAAAATGTGGTGTTCACAGGTGCTGCTCCATCTGGACAGATCCTCAATACACGTGGGGGGGGGGCGGGCAGGGCGATCAGTTTTCTCGGCTTTTTACTTGGAGTTAGAAGCAAAAAGTCTCCGAAGGGTCCTGGGAACGCCACTCTGCCCGCAGAGGGTCTCAGAAAAACGGTTTCCGGCCCTCCCCGCACCTCACGAACATTCCCGCTGGGGGGCCCTTACCCATTCTCGTCAGAGCCCGGGCTCTGCGGCTCGACAAGAGACAAGGACAGCAGACCCGAAACAACTAGAGGCCAGCCTGGGTACCGGGAGACTGGCAGAACGACCTCGCAGCGGTAGCTGTATAACCTGAGACCGCAGGGCTGGGGGCAGCCATGCCACTCGCAGGCTCGTCGGGATTGGCTCAGAAGGGGAAGGGGCGGGCCCAGAGCCCCACAGGGCTCGGGGCGGGGCAGCGGGAGTGCTCCGGGCTCCTCCAGAGCTGGCCCCGAGAAGGAAGGGGCGGGTCCTGAGAGAAGCAAGGTCAAAACAGGGATGGCTAAGAAAAAACGGGGAAAAGGTGGGGAGAGGTCGTTAAAAGAAACTAAGGGACTCGTCAGCCAAATGCAATCTGTAAGCCTGTGTAGATCTCTGTTGAAACACGCCGACTGTAAAAGAGCAATATGTAGGGGAAGTTTGATTATGGACTGGCTATTAGATTATATTAAGCATGCTGGGTGTGTTTTAGGAGGACAGACTGACGTATTTAAAGCCAAAACCTTACGATGATTTGCTTTAAAATACTCCAACAGAAAATGTGGGAGAATGAAACAAGAATGGCAAAATGTTGATAATTCTTGAAGTCGGTCGATGGGTACATGGGCGTTCATTACGCCTGTTGCTCTGTTTTTCATGTTGAAAATTCCCATTAAAAATGGTTAAGGTGGGTGTGGCCCTGAACCCTGCGGAACTTTGAGACGCCGACTCTGTTTCCACCCGGTCTGCAAACTTCAACTCCATCAAGCCAATCAGAGCTCTTTAGCTCATTAGCGAAATTAAATTACGTCTGGTAGAGCGCCTCTCTCGGACACGGAAAGATGTCGTAAAAGCCACAATGCGCAGGCGTTGTTCCTCACTTTTCCTGGCCCGGCTTGCGCATCACCTGACGCCTGCGCAATAAGTCAGTCGGGTGTGTTGAAGCGGCTAGCTAGGCCGAGTTAGTCGCGGCGCCGCATACTCTGGGCGTTTCAGTGCTGCGCGTCGCCGGGTCGTTACAGCAAGGCGCGTGGCTGCTTTGGTTCGCCCTACGCAAGATCTGTGAGTAGCCACGATGTCGATCTTCACCCCCACCAACCAGATCCGCCTAACCAATGTGGCTGTGGTACGCATGAAGCGCGCCGGGAAGCGCTTCGAAATCGCTTGCTACAAAAACAAAGTCGTCGGCTGGCGGAGCGGCGTGTGAGTAATTCTCTTCCTCCGGGCCCTGACCGGAGTTGGTAGTTTCTGAGGCGGCCTACCTCTCGTGGTCGAATGAATGGGCCAAGCTGGGGTCTTGTCAGGGAAGGAAATTGAAAACTTATTCCTGCCGTGAGGTTGAGAAGTCGCTGTCTCTCGTGAGCTTAGCTCCTAAAACAAGCGTTCCTGTTTTGTTTGGTTGGTTTGGGGGTTGGTTTTGCTTTGTTTTGATGCTGTCACAAAGGCTACAGCCAAGAAACCACCATAAGTATGGTCCTTTTCCCAAAATAATGAGAAAGGCAAAGAGCCTAATTTTCCAAATAAGTATTTCCATGTGATGTCACAGAGTTTAGCAGAGCAGTTTCACCGGAAGTGCGAAGTGCGCAGTGTCATCACTGCTGCCATCTATGGATTGGTATTCTGCGCATCAGCAGACCCCGACCTCCCACCCGCCAGTGTTGCATACGTCCTCCCACTACGGTTTTCCCCAATTAGAGTAAATGCGAATACAAATATGGTTCTGAGTCTTTGAGAATGTTTCTTCAGCACTGAGGCTCATTGAGCGGCATTTGTTTTTTCTCGCCCTTTATATCGCTCCCATCTGGTGAATGAATTTCCGTGTTTCAAGTGTATTCATTTAGGACTTTCTCTCCTGTTCTCACAAGGGAAAAAGACCTTGACGAAGTTCTACAGACGCACTCGGTGTTTGTAAATGTTTCTAAAGGGCAGGTTGCAAAGAAGGAAGATCTCATCAGTGCGTTTGGAACAGATGACCAGACTGAAATCTGTAAGCAGGTGAGTTTTTTAACAGCTGCAACATAACCCTAATAACCATTTGTACTGTAAGTATTTAAAGGTATGTTAAACCTTTTAAGTTTTATGGTTTTGGAATGAACACTTACCATAATTTGATCTGTACAACATCACTTTTAATAATTTAGGACAAGGATTTTTTTAATTTAAGTGTAGTTGACATACAATATTATGTTAGCTTCAGGTGTGCAACACAGTGATTCGACATTTATATACCTTACAAAATGATCGCCACAATAAGTCTAGTAACCATCTGTCACCATACATAGTTAGGACATAGATATTTTTTGCCAAAGCCTCCAGAAATTAAATTTTCTACTAAATTGCCTTATTTTGTCGATTTGTGTATTTTGCATGTAATATTACCTTAAAATTGAATCTCTTTTCAAGTATTTCATCATTTAGACCCTCCCCACTTTCTAGTCCTAAATAAATGCAATTTTAGAACTTAAGGTAATCCAGTGCATTCTTTAGGCAAAGCTCAAATCATTACCTACATTTCAGTAGCTACAGAGGATGAAATTTAATTTTCTTCTGTTATTCTTGTGGTTAGTTCACAAATAGTGTGTAACAAAGACATTACTTTCTTAAACTTGTTGGGATTTTTTTTAAGATTTTGACTAAAGGAGAGGTTCAAGTATCAGATAAAGAACGGCACACGCAGCTGGAGCAGATGTTTAGGGACATTGCAACTATTGTGGCCGACAAATGTGTGAACCCTGAAACAAAGAGACCATACACTGTTATCCTTATCGAGAGAGCAATGAAGGACATCCACTATTCAGTCAAAACTAACAAGAGCACAAAACAACAGGTTAGTGGTTTTTAATGTTGTCAAAAAAGTATGAAAGTTTTCTCTAAAGAAATAATTAAAATAATTGGTATGTAATAAAATGATACTACTTGAAAGCAAATGGGTAGGTTTTGGGGAGAAGAGAGGGAAAGGACATGTATTATAGAGAGGAGTAATGGAAGTTTTTTTTAACTAAACACACATAGAAATACATAGGACTCTCTTCTTATCCAAATAAACTTTTAAAGATAAAACTTGGAGGTTTTTTTGTTTGTTTTTTTTAAGATTTTTATTGGGGAATTGGGGGAAGGGGAACAGACAAGTTGCTGTCGTTTTGTTCTTCAGTCTAGTTGTGGAGGACGTTGCTTCACTGGCCCATGTTGGCACCAACATTGCGCTCTTCCTGGGCGAGGCACATCAGTCGCCGGCTTTTGGACGGCCGCTCACTGCGGCTGCTGGCTACATACGGTAGCCCATGGCAACCCACTGCAGCAGGGGCTGCAGCCTACGCCGTCGCTGGCGACTCACGGCAGCCCAGCTCCAGGTAGAGCTGTTGTTCAGCATCTCAGCTGTAGAGGGCAGTGTCACTGGCCCGCATATGTGGGATCCGAACCGGGGCTCTCTGGCGTCCCAAGCCAGTTCTTAACCATCACGCCACTCGGCCGGCCCAAAACTTGGAGTTTTAAAGTCATTGTAACTCTGTGTTTGAATTTTTTAAATTTTACATGTAGTACACATACCTTAAAAGTCTTTTCAAGATTCATTCATGTTATAACATGTATCAGTACTTCATTCTTGCTATTTATATTGTTTTTGCAAATATTAACATTTTTATAACTGAATAATATTCCATTATATGGAAATACCACATTTTATTTATTCATTCATCAGTTAATAGACACGTGGGGTTGTTTCTACTTTTTAGCTATTGTGAATAATGTATGCTATATGAAATTCATTACAAGTTTTGGTATAAACATGTTTTCATTTCTCTGTACCCAAGAATAGAATTGCTAGGTCATACGATAACCCCATATTTAACCTTTGGAGGAACTGCCAAATCATTTTCCAAAACAGCTGCACCATTTTACATTCCCACAATCAAAGTACAAGGGTTTCATTTTCTCCACATCCTCACAATATTTGTTATTGTCTGCCTTTTCGATTATAGCCATTCTGATTTTGATTTGCATTTCCCTAATGACTAATGATTTGAGCATATTTTCATGTGCTTACTGACCCGTTGTCTCTGGAGAAAATCACTATTCAGATCCTTTCACCACTTTAATTGAATATTTGTCTCTTCATTATTAACTTGTAAGAGTTCTTTATATATTCTAGATACTAGTACCTTAGCAAATGTATGCTTTGCTAATATTTTCCGCTAATCTGTGCGTTGTCTTTTCAGTTTCTTGGTAGGTTTTTTTTTGAAGCACAAAAGTTTTTAATCTTGAAGTCCAAGTTACCTACTTTTTTCTGTGATCGCTTATACTTATGTCATATTTAAGAAACCATTGCCTAATCTGGCTGGCTGGGAACTGCTTTGTTTTGAATACTTTATGAAATAAGGCACCAGAAGCAGCAAAGAAATTGCAAACATTTTCAATTTTGTCTTGATAGGCTTTGGAAGTGATAAAGCAGCTAAAAGAGAAAATGAAGATAGAGCGTGCCCACATGCGAGTTCGGTTCACCCTTCCAATGAATGAAGGAAAAAAACTGAAAGAAAAGCTCAAGCCACTGATCAAGGTTATGGAGAGTGAGGACTATAGTCAACAATTAGAAATTGTAAGATTAAAATATTCTTATTTCTTTACCTCCACGTTACCAAATAGTTTATTCTCTAATCATAATTGTGTAACAAACATTTAGAAGGTGTGAACAGTAAGAAGCATCTCACCTAGAATTAGGTAAAAATGTTAAGACCCAAGTAGAATTAAATTGTAGTTAAGCACACTTAAGATTTTTTTGTTTCCTAGTGAAATTATTCATGATGAAATCATGTTGGTCATGTGACAAGGCATTAACCTCCTTGTTTAAAGACTTATCCAGATTTTAAATCAAAGAATATATTTTACAGTGAGTCTTATATTATGAGGAAATTGGAAATACTAGACTAAAAGTTGGTCAGCCTCATTTACCACAGGACATTTTAAAGAAGCAGCAAAAACATCGTGACTGAGTCCTCACCCCATAGCTGGAGACACAGTATAAACTCAGCTTTCTGCAAATTTATGTCTCTACACTGTGCTGCTGCTTTAAAAATAAATGAGCTCTAGAGGATACTTGAGCAGCCACTCTAGATGTGAAACAACACATCTAATACTCCTTGAAGGTCTAAAATCTTTTCACAACTTATACATGGTTTCTATATAGGCCTTCAAGCCTCTTTCTTTCCTCAGATGTGGGTAAAAAGAGGTGATTTATGGAACTATAAAATCTAATGCTAAGTTTTTGTTTTGTTTTTTGGTTTTTTTTGTTTTTGTTTTTTTAATGCTAAGTTTTTATATGAAAAAGATTAGTCTTCTAATCCAACCACTTGGTCTTACAAGTGAGGAATCTGGATAAGTCTGTAAACAAGGAAGTTAATGTCTTCTCACAGTAATGTAATGCTTCCTCCAGGGTAGAGGCCAGACTAGAACCCCCCCATCTGCTGCCTTGTGCATCGATCATCTGCTCTATTGTGCTGAGAACTGTAGTAGAGACAGCTGGGAAGTATTGTGTTTGTCTTAGAGGAAGATAAAGCTGTGTTCATTCTATTATACTGCTTGTCTTCGTGTGGTAAACAGCTGTGTTACATGTTTCAGGTGTGTCTGATTGACCCAGGATGCTTCAGAGAAATTGATGAGCTAATAAAAAAGGAGACAAAAGGCAAAGGTTCGTTGGAAGTGCTCAATTTGAAAGATGTGGAAGAGGGAGATGAGAAATTGGAATGACATTCATCAGTCTCTTCAGCTTTGAAACACTAAAACGTTTTTATTTCCCACAGTCCTATGTTCTTTCTGTGGCCTGCCAAACACTTGCTCAGACTATTTTATGTTTTCCATGTTTATTTTAAACATGTACACAAAAGACTTTCCTAATAAGCATTATAATGTAAGGTTAATATAGTTTTATATATAAATTTATGTTTTAGGTAAAAATGAAAAATTCAATATACAAAGTCCAGAGTTGCATTTTGCTGCTGTCTCATTCATGCCTTTGTGGTTTTCCAAGGTAAAAGTTATTTGAGGCAGCTCTTGTGGATAAAATGTTAAATTTTGTACATTATAATGTTAATTTAGGGAGGATATGTGTAGACAGGGAGTGTTTGCTGAAAAAGAAAATGTTGTATTTCTACTTAATGAAATGCATGTATGGGGTAACTATCGTGGCCTAATATAAAGATTGGATGATGACTTCCTGATTATCTGAAAAATAGATGTGATGACTGTGCAGCACTTAAATAGTTTTCACTGAACATGCTGTCATAAACTAGATTATTCTCGGTAAACAAAAAGTCATTTATCTCTAATCTTAAAGTTTATAATATATACTAATAAAGCTGAAATTATATGTAATCAATAAAACCACTATATTTTTATTAAACTATGGTTTGTGTTTCTAGACCATTTCCTTACTCCCTTTTTTTTCCCTCTGCCTCTTTCTTATCGGTAGGGTTGAAGAGTTGTTAGGATTAAATCAGCCATTCTGAGCAGTGCTTAGAACAGGGCCCGTTCTGATAGACACCTGATACATCTTAGCTGCTATTATTTGAAATGTAATTGGATTTAATTACTTTAGTAATAACACTTAAATGGACAACTTACAAGTTCTTAAAATCTTATCCTCCAAAGGGTCTAGAATTTAAATTCGGGTTTCACTCAAAATAAACATACAGATGTATTTTGTGGACAGAAGTTTTTAACTGAAAAAGAGTTCTTAAGTCCCAAACGCATACAGAATTCACTGCTAATCCAAGTTCTCAGAAATTGTCAGGAGAGCAGTTTCCAGGCTCTCAGCCTCACGTGGGAAGGTGCTGGCTCAGTTATTAGATGGCCATCAGCAGTAACCAGTTAGCCATTAGCTACTATTGTATTGCATATAACTGCCGAGGCTGCGTTAGCAAGCGTGGGTGTCTAGGATGGTGCAGATCCTGCAGATCCTACTTCCTGTGTCTCGCCAGTCCCCAGCAAGACTGGTGCAGGAAGACCCCCTTATTGGGGTATTGACGGATGTTTGCTTCTCGTGTCTTGACCAGCCATCATCGAAAACATAATATATTCCCTATCTGTGGCTCCATTCCTTTTTGGCCTCACCAAATCTGCCAGGAACTGAGACTCCGCATGAATAATATTCCATTTAAAATAAAATGTTGGAATTGAACTGTTTTAATACAATCCTTAAGATGGCCCTCTCACTGATATCATTTTACTTGTATCAAGTAAACATGAGGCCCCTGGAAATAATTAAACAGCTAAATCAGTGTTTCAGGTTGAGAGTCAAATCCTAAAAATGTTCAATAACACTGCATCTTGAGTAGAAAAAGATAAAGTTACTTCAGTACTGCCTAAAGTTTTTCTCATCTCTAAGATGGAGCTTCATTAGCAGATGTACAATAGATCACATCTGAGTCATGCTCTGACCTTTAAAAAATAAAAGTTTATCTTATTAATCTCATTACTCAAAAGTACTTAATAATTGGTTCATGGTCTTCCCAGTACCACTGCTATAATGGATTAGTTTTAGGATTGATCTGTTTCGCATTTTGTACATTAGGTCAGATGATGTTTCAGAATTAACCCTCTGAGCACAGCATTTCTCTGCAGGGCTCTTTGTATCCATACAGTTATGTGCTCCAGCCTGTGGAACCTCTTACCACTTTGAAATTCTCACAGGCCTCGATTTCACCCCACCTGTGTAACAGGAGCTGCTTACACACCTGTCTGGCATGCTAGATGGTGAGCTCCACAGGGACGGAGAGTCACCATTTGAGTTCATCGCACCATGGTTTGGGCCTCGTCGATAAGGATTAAATGTAGAGTAATAAGCATGCTGTCTCCGTGAGGGCCCATGACATCCAAGGTGAGCATGGGTGATGACAAATTGGGCTAGTGGCTTTTTCAAATCCATCATTAAAGCTATGGTAGAGTTCATCAGCTAAGCCAAAGCTTCCCACCATTTGTTGCTTTGCCTCTTGATGGTTTCTGGTCCACACAAACCCCTTCTGCCCTCAGGGCATCTGTCTCTGCCTGCAAGCAGCTCTCACATTTGCCCCAGGGTGTCATGGACACATTATGGGGGCTGTGCTGGGGGAAATTGGATGACACTCATCATAAGCAATAACCACAAGTGATTTCACCCTACGTGCTACCTCAAGCCCACATCCTGAGATCCCTATGATTTGGTAGTAGTGAGGTTCTTTATTACCTTACAGTTTTGTGTGTGTGTATCTGCTCTTACATTACTGAAATTCAAGGTATTGATTATTTGAAAATATTTTTCTCGGGCTGCGCAATGGAGGTGGTTGTGGATACATAGTTTACCACTAACAGCATTTAATAGCTGAGATGATGAAGGTCATTGATTTTCATCTTCACATGTATATAGTCCATGATGGTACCTACAAAATAAGAGTCTAAATATAATTTTGTAGCATTAACAAGTCTTTTGAGCTACAACTATAACCCTGACCTATATCTTCATCAGCTTGGATATTCCAGCAGCTTCCACCCAGAAATAATTTCACAACACTTTAAACACACACAGTTGAATTGCCCAGGGCACCTTCCAAACACCCTGGGAAAAGTCATCAGTTTCAACAAATTCCTAGCTGAATTTCTATAGATTTTCAGTTGGCAGAGACTGGAGGTATACAGGTTGAGGAATTGAAAAGAGTCATTTTTATTGTAGAGAGGAGGACCTGTCTCTTACATTCAATACCATTCATATCTCAGGAAATTTTTCTGTCTGGTGAGCCACTGGAATGCCAAAAGATTCATGAATGATGCTCTTCATGTGGTGGACAAGCATAATCAACATGCTTTTCAAGGGAAAAGGGCCACACGCTTATTTCTTATTGTCATGTGTAGATAGAAAGGATCAAGACTAGGGATCTTGCATGTAACTATGGTAAAATGGCTTGTGGATTTTAAGTTAAAACTTTGCAGATTGTAGAAAGTTTTGGAAATACACTGGCATGACAAAGGGGTATTAAGAAAGAAAGCATTTCTTAATGAAATTTGTATAATTGTGTAATGCTTGAATGATAACTGCCTGATTTTCTCAGAGATATACAGTGATTGTTTGGGAGTTCAATAATTTTATTGAACATGCTGCCATAATTAAGATTTCATAATAGTGTAAAATGTTATTTTGAAAAGGACATCACTGTAGTTGTGATTTTGCTTTGAAGTAAAAAACAGTTAAAGGATGTTACAGCTATGTAAATAAAATTGTCTATGTTACCAAATCAAGAAAAGTAGCTAGATGGATGTTTTCCCAATATGGAGGGTATAACTTAAAAATATTCATGAAACTCACTTTGGACACCCCTCCCCCCCTTAGAAAGACAGACATCTACCAGTGCAGTGGGAACCAGATACAAAGAGGCTGTTATGATCATTCAGGAAAAACTGAATGAGCGTCTGATATTAAGTGGCCATGGATGGAGAAGACAAACTGCTTACAAATATGAACCTCCAATCCAAAGTTACAAGAGCAGTCAATCACATGCACTGATTTACCACAAAGATGCTTCTCACGGGGCAACTCTACATAGTGTGTTGTGTCAAAAGAGTCAGAGATCTATTTACAATAATTCATACTCCCAAGCAATCTGGGGAAGTCAGCTAGTCCTTAATAAAATGTTTATCCCAAATGCTAAAATCCTTACTCTCAGCAATAGTTCCAAAGTTTATGAAAGAAATAGCATGAGAATTTTAAATAAAATGTTTAGCATAAGAATTTTTTATAAAATGATTGCTCCTCACAACTCCCTGGTAAGGCAACTCCAAAATTACCACTAAATCACTGGCTGACATTAAGAATCTGGAAGAAATTCTGAACAAGGACCACCCAGACAATTTTAAAAAAGAAAATTAATCAAGAGGAAATTGTCTTACCAAATAATAAAACTTTCTATACAGCTGCAATGATTGAGGCAATACAGAATTGGCACAGAATAGACAAATCAGTGGAACAGAACAGAGCCCAGAGATGTGGGCCCAAGACCCAAAATAGATGAAAATGTAATACATCATAAATGCAGCTACGATAGGCAGAACAATACCCCACCCCCTCACCCAACCACCAACCAAAAGATATCCATGCCCTAATCTCTGGAAACTGTTAATATATTTCCTTATATGGCAAAAGAAATTTTGCAGATGGATTTAAGATTACCTTAAAATAGGGAGATTATTGTGGATTATCCAGATGGTCTCAGTGTAATCACATGAGCCCTTAAAAATGGATGAGGAAAGCAGAACAACTGGTTCAAAGAAATGAAACAATGGAAGAAGGAGCAGGAGAGATTTGAAGTGTGAGAGGTACTTAGCCTGTCCTTGCTGGTGTTGAAGATGGAGGAATGGGACCATGAGCCAAAGAATACAGGCAGCCCCCAAAAGCTAGGAAGCCATTAGGGAAATAGGGACCTGAAAGGAGCTAAATTCTGCCAACAACCTGAACAAGTAACGAAACAGATTCTCCCTTACAGCCCCCAGGACAGAACACAGCCCCGCCAACCCTTTGATTTTAGCCCAGTGAGACTGCACTGGGCTTCTAACATATGGAGCTGCAAAGTAATACATTTATGCAGTTCAAACTGCTAAGTTTATGGTAATTTGTTATGAAAAAAGTAGAAGCTATAGATTATGAATACTTCAATGTGATGACCAAAGAATGGTTGATTTGCTGAGTGACATCTGCATAATTGGCTGTATATCTAAAAAAGTTAGACTCCTACAACGTAACAAAAAAAAATAATAATTTTACATCAATTATAGAACTTAGTGTAAAAATAAAATAGTGTTGGAAAATAGTAACAGTAAAAGAGGCTTTTTTTTTTACTGCCCTAAATTGTGTATTAGGTAAGAATTTTACAAACATTATTCATTTTAGCAGTAACGGTGGAGCTGGAGAGTATTGCGCCTTCTCCAAGCTGCACAGCAAGAACCACCAATAGTGTAGTGGAACTTTTTTGTTTGTTCGTTTGTTTGTTTTTTAGCTGAGCCATCCTGCCACCTGTTGGCAGCTCAGTGGCAGCTCAGCTTGGGCCGGGAATTGAACCAGTGACCCTGTTGCTTAGAGCTCGCACTCTTGAGGGAGCTCTTAACCAACTGAGCCACTCGGCCGGCCCTGTAGTGGAACTTTTGACCCTTTCCAAGGCCACAGCTCTTGTGGCTGCAGATATCAGCCCTCACATCTCCCTGTACTTGTGGACGGTTTGATAATCTACTGGGTGTCAGGATTCTGTCTGATAGCTTTATGGAATGGATCAGTGAGGAAAACCTCAAAGAATGTGTACGTGGAATCTTCACCAAGCCAGTAAGAATTCAGGACTGTCAGAGCCCCACAGTGGCATCCAGCTCGCTCCAGAGCAGACTGAAGGC